TAAATTTAGTCCCTCAACTTTATGAAATGCACTTTTTGGTCCCTCAACAATTTTTTGCACTTTTTTGATCCCTTGACTTTAAAAATTGCACAGTTTTGGTCTTTCTGTCAGTTAAGTATGATGTGGCAGTTAAATAATTTCATGTGTCATTATTTTTTATTTTTTTGGTTAAATGCTAAATTTGGTCCCTCAACTTTAGTGGGTTACACATTTTTGGTCCCTCAATAATTTTTTGCACTTTTTTGATCCCTCAACTCTAAGAAATGCACACCGTTAGTCCTTTTGTCAATTTTGACCGTTAACTCCGCTACGTGGCATTTCTTATATATTTTTTTTTATGATATGGCAAAAATAACTTTAAAAAGTGTTAATTTGGAATTTTTTTTTATGATGTGTCAACGCCACCTCATAAACTAAATTTGCCTTAATAAAAAAATTAAAAAATTATAAATTTACCTTAATACCCCTATCTCCTTTCTTGATCCATCTTCTTCCCCTCTTTTGATCCATCTTCTTCCTTTCTTTTTTTCTTTTTCTTTCTTTCTCTTCTTCCTCTTCTTCCACCGAACCTAGCAAACTGGGTTCTGTAGAACCCAGATCTGCTGGGTTTCTGCTGGGTTCTTCCTCTTCTTCCACCGAACCCAACAATTGGGTTCCACCGAACCCAGCTCGGGTTCGATTCTTCTGCTTCACATGTTGATGAAAAAACCTTCATTGTTATGGTTCAGTAGGATGCCAAACCCTCAACAACATAATCCATACTTATGACACTGTTTTTCATGGCTTCTTCACCAAGTTGTCTTCCTTGGTGGCGTTGAAGCTCCAAACGCTTCCCCATGTGGTTGCTGTCATTTCGGAGCAGGTTAAGAGGCTGCAAACAATGAGATTGCCTAAGTTTTTGGGTCTCAAGACCACTGACATTGCTAAGTTACTCAAGGAATTTGATTTTGGGTCCGATCTTGTGATTGAGCCTTTTGATACCGAGATATGGCTTGGGTGGCAAAGTTTTAATGACTAGGATTTGGGTTCGATTCCTGCGAAATGGAAAGGGCAGTGCGTGATGACGAAGGATTTTGGATCGAGTTCATGTAATAAGAAGCTTATTGGAGTGAGATTCTTCTACAATGGGTAAGAGGCAACGAATGGGAAGATGAATGAAACCTCGGAGTACAAGTCGCCAAGAGATTGGTGATGTGGGCCCATTTGAGTAGATTTGTCGCTTTTTAGTGACAGTAATATTACGTGGCAAAATAGTTTATCCATATCATCACTTGTTTAAATTTTGTCCTCCACATCATCAAAAAAAATATAAAAAATGCCACGTAGGCGGAGTTAACGGTCCAAATTCACAGAAGGACTAACGGTGTACATTTCTTAGAGTTGAGGGATCAAAAAAGTGCAAAAAATTGTTGAGGGATAAAAAATGTGCATTTCTTAAAGTTAAGGGACCAAATTTAGCATTTAACCTAATTTTTTTGTTGATGTGGCATAATATATATTATAATTATATTATATAAATAAATAAAAATGCCACATAAATTAATAATTATATTTTAATTAAAAACAAATACAATTACCTTATTATCTTCACCCTCCCAAACCCTCTTCTTCCCCTTCCTTCTTTCTTTCTCTTTCTTTCTTTCCTATAAACCTAGCAAACGAAACCCAACCTTCCTCACCTTCCCAATCCCTCTTCTTCCCCTTCTTTCTTTCTCTTTCTTTCTTTCCCACCCTAGGTCGGTGGAAAGCTGGGTTCATCGGAACCCAGCAAATGAAACCCAGCAAGGCTGGGTTTCGACGAACCCAGCTGCTGGGTTTGGTTAAAACCCAGCAAAGCTGGGTTCGATTGAAACCCAACCTTACTGGGTTTCGATGAACCCAGGTTCATCGGAACCCAGCAGATCTAGGTTTTGACGAACCCAACATGCTTAGCCAATTCCATGCATCTAACCAAAATATCCTTTCTTCTTCCAATTTTTCGATCTTCCCATTCATTACCCGTGAGTCCTTCATCTCCTAATTCTTTCCATTCTACCCACGAAGAATCTAGAATTACTCGCAAATCTAGTTCGACTAATTGTTCTCGGATCGTCGATTTACAATTTGATTGCATCTTTCTTAAAATTTGATTAGAGTTTGATTGTATTTTTATTGGAATTTGATTAGAGTTTGATTGATATTGTTTATTGAAAGGTTAATTTGATTTGATAACATCTGCTAGGTTTGAGGCTCCAATGAAACCCAGTAGCTGGGTTCAATGACAGAGAATTCCAAATTCTCTGGTTCATAGACATATTATTTTGTAAGGACTCACCCCACTAGCAGTAGAGGCAACCCAACTCGAGTTAGATTGATTTTGCAAAGAGAGATTGATTTTGTAGAGAGTGAAGGTGAGAGACCATTTTAGGGTTTACAGATCTTATTGGTGGTTTGCAAGCAACGTGAAAGCCATTGAAGGGTCTTTGGTGCAAGAAGAAGATGACATGTTATAAAAAAAAAATCCATATCAGCATGTTTTAAAGTTGTCCTTGCCATGTCATAAAAAAAAATAAAAAATGCCACGTGGCCGAGTTAATGACTCAAATTAACAGAAGGACAAACATTGTGCATTTCTTAGAGTTAAGGGATTAAAAAAGTGCAAAAAATTGTTGAGGGACAAAAAATGTGTAACTCACTAAAGTTGAGAGACCAAATTTAACATTTAACCTAAAATTTAAATTAAACACAATTGATATAATCTTAACAAATCATTGGGTGCAATAATCACACCCTAAATTTTCGAGTTTAGCTATTTTCATAAATAAATGATGAGAAAGGAAGTACAGCACACAAGCGCTAGCTGGCTGCAAGCATGGTCACCACATATCAATAGCCTATGCTATTTACTACCAAAAAAAAAAAATAGCCTATGCTATTAGTACTTAGACTTTGGCTTTTTTTTTTTAAGTTTATTAAGCTTTTTTTTTTTTTTTTTTTAAACAATTTATCAAGGACAGGCAAACTCAACAAGGGAGAGGGAGAGGGAGAGTATATCACAGTATGACAAGATGCCACTTGATCAAAGGACTTGGTGCCTATGCTTCTTTTTGTTGACGGTGAAGAATTTCAAAAAAAAAAAAAAATCTGAGTATAAAACTCAAGATTTGATTATCTAAATATTTTTTTTTTTTAGGGTGATAAGTAAGTCAATACGTGCACCGACGCGAGAAGTCTAGGCTATTAGTTGATCTAATCCATTCAAGTTGATAAACAATACCGGGGACTCTTTTACTTTTGCCGCTAATCACACATTGCGGGTTATTGATATATTTTAAATAATTAATATCATATTTCTTTAAATTAAATTATTTATTATATTTTTATATTATGTTTTTTTTCTTAATATTTTA